AGTAATGTCAGTCAGCCACTTGACTATCCTAAAGGAAGACACATTCCGTTTTTAACATTTCCCAAATTACTGGAACCTTGTCTTCCTTTATGGAGCAGAATGCTCTATAATGCTTTAGGAAACACCAACTCATTGTCTGGCTTGTAGTGAATGCTCAAAAAATACTTTCCTTCCCACTGTGAAACCAGCTTAGAAAGAGACTAACTAGGAACAAAAAAAACTTGAATTTTCTTAATTGATGTCTCATGGACAGTATTATTCTTTTTTAAACTATAGATGTTTCTTGCAACAAAATTACAGAAACCAGGTTAACGTTGCACTTGTTAGGGGAATGTGTGTGTTCGTTCATTTGTTTTGGCTTGGTTATTTAATTGGGTGCCTATCATCTGAATCTGTTTATGAAAAGTTTGGGGCCCAAACACTGGAAACAGAAAAAGCCAAATGTACTTGCTCTCCCCGGACCTTGACAGCTGGGGCCTGGGCTTAGGACCTCCCCTTGACCGATGAGATGCTCACACTTGGGATTTTTTTGTGTCTAGAGCCACTGATGCAAATAACCTGAGACCGTTCAGAAATCATTCTGCCACAGCAGTACCTTCCAGGCATCTAGAGTCTGGCGTTGGCAGTAGAGGCACCCCCAACTAAGCTGTGGGAGGTCCTTGGCTGAAGTTCAAGGCAGCGTAGCTTCCTTGGTTCCCCCTATTTTCTGAATGTGGATCTATAAGCCTTCCTGTTGATTCCCTAAGCTGTTATCCTTCCAGTAAGTCTTTTTTCTGCTTTAGTCAGAGTCTATTTTCTCAACCCAGACCCTTGACTGGTACAGAATCCCAAGTCAAAACAGCTGTGGTTAAAGTGCGACACATGTGTGAAGATTTGCCAGTGACCTCATCTACATTTTCTTAAGTCAGTAAAAGAGTTAGAGTTATTAATGCAAGGTAATCAGTGCTCTTGTTTTGGAGGATTGTTTGGTTTTTTATTGTTGAATTGTGAGGTTCTTTATATATTTTAGATACTATATATGGGTCGCAAATACTTTCTCCCTTTTATACTTTTACATTTAAGTCTGTGATCCTTTTTTTTTACTTTGCATTTTTTAAATAGAGATAATAACATGACATTCTAATAGTTTCAGGTGTACAGAATAGTGATTTGGTATTGTATATATTGTGAAATGATCACAGTAAGTCTAGTTAGAATTTTTTCTTAAGACGAAAACTTTTAAGATCTACTCTAAGCAATTATCAAGTATATAATACAATATTAACTATAGTCACCATGCTACATATTATATCCCCATAACCTGTTTGCTCTATAACTAAAAGTTTGTACCTTTTGACCACCTTCACCCATTTCACTCACCCCTGCCTCCGGCATCTACCAATCTGTTCTATCTGTGAGTTCAGTGTTTTGGGACTTTTTAATTTGTTTTTTGAGACTCTACATGTAAGTGAGACCATACAGTATTTGTCTTTCTCTGACTTATTTCACTTAGCATAATGCCCTCAAGGTCCAGCCATTTGTCACAATGGCAAGATTTCCTTCTTTTTTATGGCTGACTAATAACTCCTGTGTGTGTGTGTGTGTGTGTGTATCCACTCATCCATCAATGGACAGTTAGATTGCTTCCATGTCTTGGCTATTGTAAATAATGCAGTAAACATGGGGATACATAGATCTTTTCAAATTAGTGTTTTCCTTTTGCTAAATACCCAGAAATGGAATTGCTGGATCATATTTTTAATATTTTGAGGAACCTCCATAGTGTTTTCCCATATTGGCTGCCCCAATTTACATTCCCACCAACAGTGCAGAGGGTTTCACTTTTCTCCACATTCTCACCACATGATTCATTTTGAGTTAATTTTTATATAAAGAATGAGGCTTAGGTCAAACTTCATCTTTTGCCTATGGGTATCTACTTGCTCTGGCACCATTTGTTGATGAAACTATCCTTTGAATTGCTTTTTCAACTTTGTCAAAAATAATTGGGTAGGGGCGCCTAGGTGGCTCAGTTGGTTAAGCGCCCGACTCTTGATTTCAGCTCAGGTCACAGTCTCAGGGTCGTGAGATTGAGCCCTGTGTCGAGCCCCATGCTGGGCATGGAGCCTGCTTAAGTTTCCTTCTTTCTCCCCGCCCCTCCCCCCCCACGTGCTCTCTCTCTAAAAAAAAAAATCAGTTGAGCATATTTGTATGAGTCTATTTCTTGAGTCTATTCTGACTGATATATGCATCTATCCCACCTCCAATACTACATATATTATATATCTTAACTCTTGTAGGGAGATATATATGTATGTCATGAAATTGGATAGAGTGATTCCTCCTCTTTTTCAAAATTATTTTAGCGGTTGTAGTTCCTTTGTCTTTCCATATATATTTTAAAGACTTACTAATTTTAGAGAGAGTGCGCAGGTGAATCCACGGGGTGGGAGGGGCAGAGGGAGAGGGAGAGAGAATCTTAAGAAGACTCTGTGCTGAGTGCAGAGCCTGACACAGGCCTTGATCCCACAACCCTAAGATCACAACCTGAGCTGAAACCAAGAGTCAGATGCTCAATTGACTGTACCACCCAGGCACCCCATATACATTTTAGAATAATCTCAGTTTATTTACAAAAAAAATCTTACTGGGACTTGGGTAGGATCTGCATTAAACCTATATGTCAATTTGAGGGGAATTGACTTCTTTACTGTGTTGTTGAGTCCTATGAGCATAGTATATCTCTTCATATATTTAGCTCTTTGGTTTTTCTTAAATCAACATTTTGTAGTTTTCAACATACAAGTCCTGTACATGCTTTGTTAGATTTACACCTAAGTATTTTAGAGTTTTGTTTTGAGCAGTTGTGAGTGGTGGTATACTTTTAAAGTTTGGAGTTTATGTGTCCATTGCCAGTATATAGAAATAGATTGATTTGTGTGTTTATTTTGGATCCTGCAACTCTACTGAGATCATTTATTAGTTCTGGGAGTGGTTGTTTTGTACATTGGTGGATTTTCTACTAGATTAATCCTTTGTCATCTGCAAATAGGGAGTTTTGTTTTTCCTTTCTGATATATATACCTGTTATTTCATTTTCTTACCTTACTACAGTGGCTAGAACTTCCAACACTGTGTTGAATAAAGTGGTGAGAATGGACATCCTTACCTTGTTCCTAATTTTGGAAGGAAGGCATTCAGTGATTTGGGTTGTATGGTGTTGGAGCTGGCTGCTACTCAGTAGAGGTAGTCTCAAAGCCTCCCAGCAAATGACTGCAGCCACAATAGTGTGATAGCTGCTCGTTTTAGGGAATGAGTGTGAGAAGTTTTGTGAGAAAAAGCCAGAACTGAATACAAGTAGCTCACTTAAATTTCCACTACATGGATCAGATTGTTGCCAGAATCCTGTTGGTCTTGTTTTAGATATTTGGAAGTTGTAGGCAGCAGGCATTTTGTTCATTTTCTTTTATATTCTGAGGTAATTTTTTAAAAAGTAATCTGGAATTTCATATTCTAACATGTGAACCGTAGAGGGAAAACTGTGTGTGTGTGTGTCTGTCTGTCTGTCTCTACAAAAGCATTTTAGAATATACTCTGGATGTTTCACCAGTTCTTCCTGAAGTGTCCATTGGTTAAATAGATGCCGACCATGTAGGCAAATGCACTTTATTTCCACAGTACTGAGTATGTTGGACTAAATTGAAGCCAAAAGCTACCTGAATTTTATATTTGTGCTTGGTCAGCTTTATACTATGACAGCCTTCTTGGGGGAGAGACATTGACCTTCAGTTACTGCTGTATAGCAAATAACATTATTAGTAGGAGAATCCTTGGTGTGTAAAGAGCTTTCAGTTCACCTCTACTTCTGTCCAGGTGTCCTAGTTGCTAATGGGAGAAACCTTTATTTCTTTCTGTCCCTTGTCTGCCATGAAAGATCACATAGGTTTATACTGTGGGTTGCCCACTTTTGTGCCTTCTAAATTAAATGGCCTTAGTAAAAATGATTGTGTTCTGTGCTTAGGACATTTCTAGTGGGAGTCTTATACCTCATTTTCTAATTTAAAAATAAAAGTGTTGTGTTGCCTTTGTTTTTCTAACACAACTAATATTTTTATTGGTTAAAACAATAAAAGATACAGAGATGCGTATACATAATCCTTTTGGTTAGCAATGATTTAACATTTTGATGCATACCCCTTCTAAGCAGTTTAGACATAGGTTTATACTGTTTGTTTTATAACCTTTTTATTTCACCATGAACATCTTTTTGTTATATAATTGTGTGCAGTGTTTATAACAGTTGTGTAATATTTCATTTTAAACCAATCCGTTTTGGACATTTGGTCCTTTCCAATTTGTCACTATTACATATGGTCATGCAGTATAGATTCTTGTGGTTAAATATTTGTGTACATCCTTATGATTTTCTTTGGATAAATTCCCAGAAGTAGAATTGCTAAATTTTCCAGAAAACTACAAGGATATGGTGAATTTTTCCATCCTGAGGTGTGTTAAAAACATTGTGATCTTTTATTTTCAGTTATGAGTTTGAGAGGTTTGTTTTTTTAAAAAGTGTTTTAATTTTGGCTTAAATTGATTACAGTCTTACTCAACATATGGATGTGGGCCAATTTTGTCTGGAGAGATTCCTTTTTCTTCCCTACCTCATAGCTGTGCCTCTAGTTGGCATGGCATCATAACTCCAGAGTTTTTTTTTTTAAGATTTTATTTATTTGCGAGAGAGACAATGAGAGATAGAGAGCATGAGAGGGAGGAGGGTCAGAGGGAGAAGCAGACTCCCTGCTGAGCAGGGAGCCCGATGCGGGACTCGATCCCGGGACTCCAGGATCATGACCTGAGCCGAAGGCAGTCGCTTAACCAACTGAGCCACCCAGGCGCCCCTCCAGAGTTTTTGCTTTAAGCATTTTGCATGTTCTTCATTCTGTCTTGTTTATGTCAAGCATATAGTACTTAAGATTGCAACTTTAAGTTCTCACTTTTTTTGGGAAATTTCTTTTCAGATCATAAAACAGAAAATCGAAAACATGAAAGTAGACAGGACTAAACTGAAAAAGACACCTACTGAGGCTGTAAGTATCCAGAAGTATGCTCTATTTTTTCATTTCAGAAAAAGTCCTGGCAATCAGTTCAACCATACTGATCTTCAAACTATGTCATCACTTATATACAAAGTGCAATAAAATAGCAAATTGTCTTGAAATAGTCAAATTTACTTTTGAACTTCCCTTGATTAAAAAATTGAATAAGCTAGTCACCGGTGGAAAGTGAGCACTAAACTGTTTGTAGCTTTGTGTACCTGAAGTAGGCTCCCTGGCTGCTGTCTTCTATGTGTTGGAAGGCAGTGTGGTATAATGGAAAGAGCAGATGTGGATTCAAATTCTGTCTGTACTTATGGGGTCTTTTTCAATTTTGTTTTCTCGAAAATTAAAGTGGTAACACCTTTCTTAACTGGGTTTCTTGTGAGGCCAGTGTTGTAGCTTTTTTTAAATTATAGATTCTTAATCATACAATTCACCTTAGCCTGTATTAACCTGTGTATTGGTTGACCATGTCAGTTGATCCTATGTCAGCAGTAGAAATCCCAGGTTTAGTCCAATATTCTGTCAGCTGGCTTAAAATGCATTTTGAGGTTAAGAAAGTATTGCATTGTTATGACCCTCCTATAGATCCCATTATGCTATAGTTCAAGGAGCACGAGCTTTGGAATTAGACATGAGTTTAAATCACTAGATTTTTGTGGCCTGGTTTTCACAGCTGTAAAACAGGGTTGATAATTTTTCTTTCCTTGATGTGAGGCAGATGCTTAGCAAAGTATCTGGCACATAATCAATTAGTTCATTTTCTAAATACAAGCCACTTGGTTTTTAAAAACTGTAGCTACCTGGCAAGTATCACCATGGATATCACTATTAACATTTTGCTATATTTCTTCTCATATTTAAAAGATTATTGCATGGACATTCTCCCGCCCTTTTTTGTTAAGCATTATACTAATGAATGTGAGAAATGCTGTCGTCCCATACCCTCATCAACATTACAGATTATCTTTTAGATTTTTGTTAATAAGTGGGGAAATATTTCATGGTTTTAATTTTCATGCTTTAATTACATATATTTTCAAATTTATTGGCCTTATATTGGTTGTCTGCTCATGCTGGTCATTTTGTATTTGACACTGGAATATTAGGTTTTTTATTGAGTGCCGTACATATCAAGTATGTTCACTTTCATATCTATGGATACTTTCCTTTTGATTTTGTTTTTGATGTGTTTTGGCATCTTGAATTTTTGACAGTTATATACCCAATTTATTTTGGAAACGAAAGAGCAAGAAGAAAAGTTGCCTTAAGAAACTACACAAATTAAAACAGTGGCATCGGGGCACCTGGTGGCTTAGTTGGTTAAGCATCTGCCTTTGGCTCTGGTCATGATTCCAGGGTCTTGGGATCAAGCCCCGCATCAGGCTCCCTGCTCAGTGGGGAGCCTGCTTCTTCCTCCCCTGCTCCCTCTGCTTATGCTCGCGCTCGCTCTCTCTGTCAAATAAATAAAATCTTTAAAAAAATAAAACTGTGGCATCGGTGTAAGAAGATAACCTAGGAAAGGATCCTAGTGTACCTGTGCGTAAGAACTTAACATATGATAATTATAGGAATTATTGGTTGGTAGGGAAGGACAATATTAATCAAGAAACTGTGTCAGGAAAATTGTTTTGACTTTTGAGGAGTGGGGACTATTATTGAAGAAATTCTAGATAAATTAAAAGTCAAATATTTTTAAAAGAAATAAATTCTTGGTGAAATATAAATGAATATTTACCTGGTGTTAGATGGGGATGGCCCTTCCAAGCATTAAAACAAAGGGGAAAAAAAAAATAACAGAAGCGTAAAGTAATATATCCAAAGTAAAAAGGCACATGACGAGCTGGGGGAAATATTTGTAACCTAATACACAGTTGACCCTTGAACAATATGCGTTTGAACTGCACAGTTCTACTTACATATGGATATTTTTCAATAAATATGGTATTGTAAATGTATATTTCTTATTTTTCTAAAAATCATAACATTTTCTTTTTCTAGTTTATTATAAGAATACAGTATATAATATACGTTCCATAAAAATATGTGTTGAGTGTTTATGTTACCAGTAAGGCTTCCAGTCAACAGTAGGCTATTAATAGTTAAGGTTTTAGGGAGTCAAAAAAATTCTACTTAGGTTTTCTACTGCATGGGGGATAGTCAGCACCCCAACCCCCATGTCGTTCAGCAGTGAACTGTAGTAGCTACATCAGTAGGAGAGATGAATATCCCAATGACAAAATGGACATAGGTCATTTCAGAAAAGAACAAATTCATTAAACTTCCAGAATAACCTTGTAGATAATCAGAGAAATGCAAATTTTTTCTTCTTTTACCTAGTGGATTGGTACAGATATGTTCTTGGGGTCACACCTATACACACATTCCTGGCTCACAACATTTGATAGCTCCTAGCAAATTACTTAGGATAAAGTCCTGGAATTGGAATTTTTAGATCATTGCCTATACATTTTTTTTCTTAAAGATTTTATTTATTTTTTACCTGAGAGAGAGTGAGAGGGAGAGAGACAGAGCACAGAGGGAGCGGGAGAAGCAGACACCCTGCTGAGCAGAGAGTCCGACGCGGGGCTTGATCCCAGGACCCTGAGATCATGACCTGAGCCGAAGGCAGACACCTAACCAACTGACTGAGCCACCCAGGCGCCCCTCCCTATAAATTTTTAAGACTTGAAGATGCCTAGTTTTCTTGAGCAGCATACCCAATTTTCTGTACTGTGGTTAATACTAGGTATTATTTTTAAGGACATTTAAAGTTTTTTTGTTTTGTTTTTTTTTGTTTTTTTTTTACCTTTTGACCCCCTTTACCCATTTTTCCCACCTGTCCACCTGTGGCAGTCACCAGTCTATTCTCCGTATCTATGAGCTTGGGTCTTTTAAATTTGTTTTTTGTTTTTTTAATCTATGTATGAGTTGAGATTATATGGTATTTGTCTTTCTCTAACTTCTTTCACTTAGCATAATGCCCTCAGGGTCCATCCATGTTGTCATAAATGGCAAGATTTCATTCTTTTTTATAGATGAAGAGTATTCCACTGTATATGTACACCCCATCTTTATCCATTCATCTGTCCATGGACTCTTAGGTTGTTTCCATATCTTGGCTATTGTAAATAACGGTACAGTGAACATGGGGGTGCATATATCCTTTCAAATTATTGTTTTATTTTCTTGGGTTAAATACCCAGAAGTAGAATTGCTGGATCATATGGTAGTTCTATTTTTAATTTTTTTGAGGAATCTCCACAGTTTTCCATAGTGGCTACACAAGAAATACATTTATTGATCACTTTGTATATCAGCAACTGTGCAAAGGATTTTTCCCCTAGATTTGATATCTTTAGTGGAGCAAATCAATGTGAACCTTGGCAATTAGTATGCATCCATTGAACTGGCAAGTGCTTTCTTTTGCATTACCTGGAGAAGGAAAATAACAATCAGTTTGCATTTATGTAGCAGGAACAAGATGGTAAAGATAGACTTTTGTCCCTGGTGCATTCTGCAAACCACAAGGTCTGTAGGGACCTTGAGACTGCTGATAAAACAGAACATCATGCTGGTATATTAAATTGATGCCATTATGCTGACTGTATCTTGTGAGCAGAAAACACAAGTACCTTAGATGCCTTAGACATATGTATGCCAGAGACTGACTGCCCTTTGAAGCTTCAGGGTCTTCCACATCAGGAAAGTTTCTAGGGGTCCAGAGGTCTGGGAAATACCAAGATTTCCCTTCTAAAGTGAGAGATGAATTGCTGTACCTTGTACCATATACCATGAAGACAGAGGAACAACATATGAGGTGCCTCTTTGGATTTTGGAACCAGCATACATCAAATTTGGGCTTGTTTTGATTCATTTACTGGATAACCTCTAAAGTGATAGGTCTGGATCTAGAAAAGAGTCTGGGAAAGTTTCAGGTTATGGTATAAGCTGCCCTACTATGTGGACATTTTGACCTAGTAGAATGAGATGTCTGACTTAGGTGTCAGCCAAAGATGCCTCTGGCAAGCTGTGATAGAAGTGCAGCTGAGATTCCTAGAATTTTGGCAAGGCTATTGTCTGCCAACAACTATTCTAACATTCAGAAAAGCAGCTTCTGGCTTGCAACTGAAACTTGATACAGACTGAATGCCTGATTGAGATATCAAGTGATTATAGGATTCAAATGTTCATCATTAATTGGGTGTAATCTAACCCACAGAATCAAAAAATTGGATCTGTATAACTGCATTCCATTAGACATTGAAGTGGTATATTAGATACTAAGCCTGAATAGGTCCAGAAGGCGCAAGTGAATTACATGAGCAGGTGGTTTAGACTCCCATGTTATGTTTCTCTTGCTTCATCACCTCTCCCTCAATGTATATGACTTTAAGGAGAGGAGAAAAAAGTGCAGGCCAGTTTATGGAAGGATTTTATGCCAAGGATTTTACATGCATTAATTACCACAAAAATTTCAGGTAGCTCTTAATTATGCTTCCTCAGGGAGAAAGGTTTGGGACTTAGCTTAAAGAAAACCTTTAAACCCCTGTTTTTCCATGTTGTGTTTTGGGTACTGAAAATACCTCTAGTTTAAATCTCACAACAACGTTGCTGGATAAATAGGTGGTGTTAGTTCATTTTGCGGAAGAGGATACTAAGATTCAAAGAGGTAGCTTACCAATTATCTAATTCCAAAGCCCATACTCTTTGTAGTAGTATGCTGTCTCTCAATATTTAAGCCCCTGTTATGTGAAATAAGTGCTTTAGTATGTGGCAAACATTTGAACCTCACATTACCAAGGTAGTTATTAGGTCTCTTTTCCTGGTAAGAAAACTGTGGCTGAGAGATTGGACTAGCTCATGATCAAACAGCTTATTAAACATCAAGCTAAGAACTGAACCCAGTTTTGTTTGGTTGCAAATCTAGGCCCGTTTCCAGGATACCATATTGCTTTACAGAGAAAAAAAGCCAGTGTAATCATTTCCAGCTGCCATCCATTAAAAGAAGACTTCTCTGTCCCAGTCCCTAGCCTTCTTCCTCCTCACTTTCAGAAACTTTACTATAAGCTCTCAATCCACGCCTTGTTACCTGAAAAACAGGCCCTTTCATCAGTAAAAGAGAGCAGGAATATATGGCAGTGGGAATCCTGTAAGAATGAAGTCCCAGTATTACAAAGTTCAGAAGGTCTTTGTCCTCCTACAGTTAGAGGGTTTAATGTTGCAGAGAAATACAGCCAGTGCTAATCTTCACCTTTAACTGTGAATTCACTAGGGTTTTTCAGTGTTCCTCTGATTCAACATTTCTTATCAGGCATTTTAGTTAACTTTCAGACTGTGGTACAGATTCTTTCATTTTCTTATTGGTGTCTAGCTCGTTTCCTTTATTTCTGTTGTCTGTACCCTTCCAAGTAGATGGTCTACATGTACAAGTTTATCCAAGTTAAAAATGCACAGATGGATTGTTTTATTATAATATTTCCCTTTAATCCCAAGTGATTGGCAAATTTCCCATTTTCTAATATAGTATGTTCTTTCAGAAGTTAAATTGCTAAGTGTGTTGGCCTAAAGATTCCTTTTCCCATTCTTTGTTTTTGTGTATCCCTCATCCTCCAAAACACTCTTTGTGAATACCTGTTTTTCTCAGCCTGCAGACTGCAGAGCCTTAATAGACAAACTCAAAGTTTGTAATGATGAGCAACTCCTCTTGGAACTGCAGCAGATCAAAACATGGAACATTGGGAAGGTATGTGAACCCATGCTCCCAAAAGACAGGGCTCCCTGGACTAGTACATCATTTTGTATTCTCTGATATGGAAAGAGAAACCACAGTGAGGTAGCATCATTCATCAGTTCTTAGTAAGTATCTAGTGTATGTCTAATACAGCTCTAGACCAGTAACTTTTAGCTTGTGAACACCAAGGAAATTTTGAAAAATGTGAAAGAAAATTTCGCTAGCTGAAGATGAAGAATGTTTACATAGGTGATGATAAAGAATTTCAACCACAGAATTCCTTTAGTTTGACAATATGAGTTTGAGATAGTTAAAAGAATCTTCTTTAGGTAACTCTAAAAATGAACACTTCTGATAAAATGGGTTCTGGCAGGGAGAGTCATTGTATTTGTAGACCTCAGAATGTAGCCAGAATTCTCTCTCTGAAGACCTAGTTAAGGTGTCTACTGGTGTTAGCACATGTGTACTTGATGCACTGATGTAATAATGAACTCAGGTTTATATGCCTCAGAGTATGATATTTCTCATACAGGTTTCTGTACTGGTGGGGGGTTTTAAAGAGAAGCAAAGGTGGGAAGTGAACTTGTCTAGGTGTCACGCTCAGCAATCAATTGTAGCAAAGCACCCACATAGTACTTAGTACCTTATTCTCCGATGTTCCTCTTTCTCTTCCCTTCTCCAGTGTGAGTTATACCACTGGGTGGATCTGTTGGACCGCTTTGATGGAATCCTGGCAGATGCTGGACAAACAGTGGAGAATATGTCGTGGATGCTCGTATGTGATAGGCCGGAAAGAGAACAACTGAAAATGCTTCTCTTGGCTGTGTTGAACTTCACAGCCTTGCTCATTGAGTACAGCTTTTCCCGGCATCTGTACAGTTCCATAGAGGTAGGAGAGGTTCAGGCCTATGTGATCTCTTCTCAAGTATTATTGTTCATGTCCAGAGATAAAGAAATTGCTATTTCTTTCTGATAATTGCTTCTTTCCTTTTCATTATGGAGGTCTGGGGTTTTCGGTGTCAAAGACAATGATGATGTTTTTTGGATATAGATGCCCTTCACAGGTTGCTGGGAAGGTTCTTTATTGTCACCTTCACTCTGCCTTTCCAGATTCAAGAAATTAATGAGAATGTAATACATGTATTGAAGTATTCTTGGGAATTTGCAAAAACTGATCTTTGTTCCAGGTTATTAGAACATTACTCATTGCCTAAATGACCTGTTAGGTTTATTTTCCCAAGTCTTTGGTAAAGAAATAGGATCAGAATTGAAAGGAAGTGGCTTGGGAAAAGTGGAATAACTGAACTAAAGTATAGCACCCACGGTTTTAAGTGAGGAATGGATAAGCAGTCTGTTAAAGATAAAATAGATTAGTTGCAAAAGGAAGTACATAGCCTTCAGGATTATCAGCAACCAGAAATACCTAGGTTTCTTGCCAACTAAATGACATAATGATTTTAACACTGACCAAATGCTTCAATATATTGATGAACTTTGATTTTATTAAAAAATCTAGTCACTTTTGGATTACTGTTACATACACTATACTGTAACAGTCATAAATGCCACCAGCTGTTGTTGCTATCTTTAGCTTCTATATGGAGGACCCTGCATTTTAATTAGTTCCAATTTTATATTTGTCAAAGGATACAGAAGGAGCATAAAATTACCTTTCTTTCACAATACTTTTAGTCTAGTTGAGACTTAATGTTCTTAAGTTCCACTTTGTATTAAAATACCACATTTGTCTCTTTTGTAATCTGTTTTTTCCCGTGGGGACACCTGTGCAATTTTGAGCTGCTGCTCACTTTTTCTTTTCTTTTCTTTTTTTTTTTTTTAAAAACTTGGACTTTCTGGCTTGCTGCCAGATTATAAGCTGCTTGGGGACAAGGTTGCATGTTGTAGGTGCTCAGATATTCATAAATAGTTTTTTGTATTAAACTTCTTGATAGTTTTGTGTATATGAACAAATCTATTACTACATAGGCATTTTAAGTTTTCAAGGCCTAGTGTGCCCGATACCATAATCTTGCCCTTTTTGTTCCCTGTAGCATTTGACAACTTTATTGGCTTCCTCTGATATGCAAGTGGTGCTGGCAGTCCTTAATCTTCTCTATGTATTTAGCAAAAGATCAAACTATATCACACGCCTTGGATCTGACAAGAGAACCCCACTGCTAACCCGGCTACAACACTTGGCAGAGGTGAGTCATGGGTAAAGAGTGGAAGAGCACAAAAATTGGACCATATAGTTCCTTTTCACAGGTGTTTTTTACATTGTCAAAATGGATTACTATCCCTAAGTTTACTGGCCTAAATGAATAGAATTATGGGGGCCCCTTAACTAAGTTCCCACCAAAACCTAAGAAGTATTCTCAGTTGTTACGAAGCAATTTTGAGGGATTTCATGAATCTCTACTCACAAAGCAGAATCACTCTGTTCAAAAATGGCAACAGCTTGGGGCGCCTGGGTGGCTCAGATGGTTAAGCGTCTGCCTTCGGCTCAGGTCATGATCCCAGGGTCCTGGGATCGAGTCCCGCATCGGGCTCCCTGCTAGGCGGGGAGCCTGCTTCTCTCCCTCTGCCTCTGCCTCTCTCTCTCTCTCTGACTTTCATGAATAAATAAATTTAAAAAAAAAATTAAAAAAAAAAAAGACTTTAAAAAAAAATGGCAACAGCTTTTCTAGAAAGAAAGTTCATAATCAGATTCTACTTAGGAAGGAAGTAGGGTGCAATCTGGATTTGAGTCTTGTCCCTGCTTATTAGCTCTGATACCAGTTTTCTCTGGGAATTTAGTAGATCTACCTTAAGAGTAGTTTCAGAATAAAATGAAATGTAGGGTACTTAGTGCTATGCTCAGTAATTGGTTTGTGATGGTAGTAATTATAATTGAAGGCAAAAAAAAAAAAAAACCACTCTCATATAAAAGTAACTCAACCAAACTATTGTCCAGTGTTCCTAGAGACAAATTGATCATATGTACTTAGGGTTTGAGAGAGGTAGAAAGCTTTGCTAGAAAGCTTTCTTAGAAGAAAATTGAGGGGTGCCTGGTGGTTCAGTCAGTTAAGCGACTGCCTTCAGCTCAGGTCATGATCCCAGGGTCCTGGGATCAAACCCCACGTACTCTGCTCAGCAGGGAGCCTGTTTTTCCCTCTCCCTCTGCCTGCCACTCCCCCTGCTTGTGGCTCTCTCTCTCAAATAAATAAAATCTTTAAAAAAAAAAAAAAAAAATTTGGTAAGGCTGACTTTTTAAAAGCCAATTAATGATTACATCATAAATAATATAACTCAAGTTTCAGGCTATTTTTAGGTACATGATTCCTTAAAAATCTTCCCGCCCCCCCAAAAAAATCTATTTATTTATTTTAGAGAGGGAGAGAGAGCCAGGGGTGGGGGTGGAGGAGCAGAGGCAGAAGAGAGAGTCTCAAGCATACTCCACACTGAGTGCAGAGCCCCACGCAGGGCTCAGTCTCACGACCCTGAGATCACAACCTGAGCTGAAACCAAGAGTTGGATGCTCAACCGACTGCACCACCTAGGCACCCCTCCTTAAAAATCATTTTTGAAAGATATAATATATAATCTGTATTGTGAAAATTCTGGGATATACAGAAAAGTATAAAGAGAATATTAATCACCTTTAATTCATCCAGATGGAGCTTCCTTCAAAATTTGAGTATATTTTCTAATTGTATTTGCAAATATGTATATACAGATGTGCGACCTATTCTGTTAACATAATTTTCTCATGTTATTAAAAAATGTAAGACAGTTCAGTATTGGCTCTCCAAGTAACAGTAAGAGGAAAAAGAAGCCATATTTCAATAGATGCTTCAAAAGCATTGGATAAAATTCAGCACATTAATTAAAACTAATATAAACTCTTAGAAAGCTAGGAAGACAAAATTTAAATTTATAAATCATCTACCGGAAGTCATAATGGAAAAACTGAAGCATCTCCATTGAATTCAAAAGTCACACAAAAATGCTATTACTTTTGCCACTTAAATTTATAGTAGAGGTCCTAACAAATACAAGAGAAAAGGAAGAAATGAAGGATACGTATTAAAAGAGAAAACTTGGGGCGCCTGTGGCTCAGTCAGTTACGTGTCTGCCTTCGGCTAAGGCATGATTCCAGGGTATTGGGATCCAGCCCCGCATCATGCTCCCTACTCAGCAGGGAGCCTGTTTCTCTCTTCCTCTGCCTTTCCCCCCGCTCGTGTGTGTTCTCTCTCTCAAACAAATAAAGTCTTAAAAAAAACTTATTACTATTTGAAGGTGATAGGATTGAGGCTTTTGGTTTTCTGGGGAGACAGTATAAAATTATTAGAACTAATAAAAGTATAGTGAGGTAGCCAAGTAAATGATCACTATACAGAAACAAATATTTCCTCTATACATTAGTAATAACCAGTTAGATGATTAGAAAAAAGACCCTATTCACGGTATCAGCGAGTACACTAAAATAAGCCATAACGGTTTATAAAACCATACATTAAGAGAAGGTAATGGAGAAGGTTATATTGTGATTTACTGGTAGTGAAGGAACTCTTAAAAAACCCAAAGCATAAATCTTATAGTAAAAATTACAAAATTAAGACTTCCCTTTCATTGAAAAACATCATAACTCACTGCAGTATAGGCACTCACATTGGAATGTAAATCAGCACACTGCTTCCTTGAACAAGAAAAACATCAGTTGGAATAAACAGTGTACTTACTGATATGGTTGACTAACATTCTGGTGCAAACTCATTTTGTCATGGACCAATACCACATTCGAACAATTGGTGGAATATCAGCTGGCCTGTGTACAACAATAAAAAACAGAGTAGTGATAGATGGATAAGTGTTTAGCCATGTTTTAAAACTGTCAAGGGTGGTGTGCCGCGGTGGCACAGTCAGTTGAGCGTCCGACTCTTGGGTTTGGTTTAGGTTGTGATCTCAGGGTCATGGGATCGAGCCCCATGTTGGGCTCTGCACTCAGTGTGGAGTCTGCATGAGACACTCTCTCTCTCCCTCTGTCCCTTTCCCCCTAAAATAAATAAATAAATCTTTTTAAAAAACTGTCAAGGGACTTTGTCATTGTAGTATATTTAAGGAACACCTCCAAATTAACCAGGATAAACAGAGGCTATAGATAGATAATTCACAGACCAGGGAATTCAGCACATTAATAGATGTTGGAAACTCAGTAATTAGAGAAATACAGCTTATAAAACTATCAGATTAACAAATTAGAAAACTATGTAATGGTAAGTGTTAGCAGGCATATGTGAGGCTATAGGAACCCTTGACTGGTACTCCTGGGTATATATCCCAAAGATGATTTCACATTATTCCATAAGGTAACATCTGGGAAAATACTGCATCATTGTGGCAGTTAGTAGATTGGATAAGTAAAATGTGCTGCATGCATATTATGGAATATGTAGCAGTTAGAAGCAGTGAACCAAATAGTACATGTAGCATCAGTAGCTTTTAAAAATAATGCTGGGGGGTGGTTAAAAATGTTTATTGCTCAGTACCATTTCTGAAACTTAAAAATGTACACACAGAGCAACATAAAGTTTTGAAGAAAATTATAGATATAAGAAGTGAAAAGTGTTGCCTTTGGCAAGGAGAAAGGAATGTGAATGAGCAATAATCAGACAGATGGTTTACATAAATAAGTAAAAGAAAATAAAGGTAACCAGCAGTATTTAAGATCTGTTAGAACAAAACTAAACCTTTATTTACAGATTAAAAGATGATCTAAATTTGTGAGCAGAGACAGATGATACCATTTTTTGCATGGGAAGACACAATATAGTAGAAGCCCTCTTTGATCAAATTAGGGTCAATAGTTGTTAGGTTAGTTATTGTTAAAATGTTAAAGCAGATCTTTTTAAAAATGTCATTACGTACCACTTTTTAAAAAGATTTTATTTGGGGCGCCTGGGTGGCTCAGTTGGTTAAGCGACTGCCTTCGGCTCAGGTCATGATCCTGGAGTCCCGGGATCGAGTCCCACATCGGGCTCCCTGCTCGGCGGGGAGTCTGCTTCTCCCTCTGACCCTCCTCCCTCTCATGCTCTCTGTCTCTCATTCTGTCTCTCGCAAATAAATAAAATCTTTAAAAATAAAAAAAAAATAAAAAGATTTTATTTTTAGAGAGGAGTGTGAGCCCAGGGGTTGGGGTTGTAAAGGGGGCAGAGGGAGGGAGAATCTCAGGCAGACTCCAGACTGAGCGCAGAGCCCATGACTCTGAAATCATGACCTGAGCCAAAATCAAGAGTCTGACGCTTAACTGACTAGCCACTTAGGTGCCCCAGTACATACCACTTTTTAAAAACTGAAACACAAATGTCAATTCTTTTTCCTATTTTTCTAATGTAAGGCCACAGACACTACTTTGAGTCAGAAATAGTCTGTTCTCTTACTTACATAAACTACAACTATCATCTCTGATTTCTTTAAAGTAGAGCAACAACGGTGTAAAGACTTCAGTTTGTAAAGGAACCTGAATACAGAATTAGAAATTATAATTTATCCCGAATCTCTTTTCCCTAATTTAACACTTTTTATTTTAACATCTTGCCTTTTTAGCCTTTGCCAAATATTCAGATTAGTTTTTATAAAAATAGTTCCCTTTTCAGTTTAAATCATTGTTCTGTATAATATTTTAACTTACTTATAATATATACAACTGACATAAATGAGTTTAGAGACAAACACCTGGCTTGGTACACATACAGATAACTTGTGGGAGCAAAAGAGTGATTGCAAGCATGCGTTATTCAATATGTTTTAAGTTTTTTTAATTGGCATAGGAACAGACAAATATGTCTGCAGAATGAAATAGTAAGCATCGTGTTGTTTATAAAGAAAAATGGGACAATTGACTATTTGAAGGAAAATGTGTTTAGATCATTTCTTTACACTATTCACATAAATCCTACAAACGTATTTAGAAGTAAATATAGGCAGCTCTTTAACATCTTTCATGAGGAAGGATTTCCTAAGTCAGGAAACCTATAAGCCATTTTAAAAATTGACAGATTTTATGTAAAAATAATAGTTATAAAGAAAAGGCAGATGACTTCTTAAACTGGGAAAAAGTATTTGCACTGTGTACAACAAAGGAGTAACACGTTATGTAAACAGCTTTTACAAATCCTTAAAAATGTAAATAACCCAGTAGGAAAACATCGAAAGTATATGGACA